TACCAATATGATCAAGTTGCGAAAACAAGGTCAAACAACTTCTATACAATGGAAGGAGACTGCGACCACAGAAAAACAAGACCACACCATCTTGGTCTTCATACTTTCAAGACTATGTTAAATTCAATTGAACCAGGTCTACTAACATGATTGTGGGAAAACCAAATACCAGTCCCCTTGTCAACTTAAGCGAAATAGAGGGAATGCACATCTAATTTCATCTTTTCCTCTTTAGTAGGCTTCGAAGCTATCATTAATTATTAACGAATAACTTATTTAAGGATTTATTCTTAAGCAATTAATCTCAGTCATTCCTGGTATTTCTTACTCTAACCTAAACGTATACACACGTATGTGTGCTAAATCACACACACTAGCATATAAGTACCTTGAATAACATGAAAGGTCTCTAACCAATTCATTTAAAATCTATTTGTATCTGTAAATTTCCGTTATTAATTATGAGTACAAATAGCCTGCTAGTCTACTTGGCTTAGTGTAAATGTAAAGTTTTTGCAATAATGTATACCAGCTCTGACCATACTGCCATTCTCCACTCAATTTAAGGGAGGATGTTGCGTTGTGTGCGTCAACCTGAACATTGTAGTAAATTCAAATATATGCAGAACACCAGGAATCAGACATCGTCTTCTGTTGAGATCAACCCACGGGTACCATACTTAGGCGCCTTAATGCGTAAGGCAAGTCGCCACAATAAGATGAAGCTTGCGAGTGAGACGGATATGGGACAAAACTCTGCCAATTTTGGCGCCTGCCCAGCCATCCTACCCAAACGAACCGCCCCACTTCATCCTTCCTCGCCTGTCTCGATTTCTCCTACCATCTAAAATTTCACACTCCCCTTCCCTCCCCCACCCTCCATCGCACACACCTTCCATTCGTTCGACAGGACGACTACCCGGTCGTTAGTCTCGGTGACAAACATAGCCAGACAATAGAGTCAACCATGCTACATCGTAGGCAGCGCGATGTGAGGCAGGTGAGAGCGCTGGCCAGGCTGGTTGAGACCGTAAGGAGCATCAAGGCGGATCTCGCCCACAGCGAAGCAGAGGCGAACAGAAGGTGAGCTGTATTTTGTCTTCACCGGACAGTGAAAGCCAGTAAAAGAAGGGCTCATGAAGGCATTTCTATGACTGTAACTTGCTAGAGCCTAAATATTATAATTGAGTCAACCTCTCCAACTCCACTCCACGAAGAATAGCTAACACTTTCATCCAAAGGTATTTACTTACTCTCACAATATGATCTCATAGAAGACAAGCAAACAAGCAAACAAGTAACAAAAACAGCAACAAGCAATAACAAACAGGCAAAGCCCGCCGAGCCGGACGCACCACTTTTGAAGATGTTTAAAATGTCCCTTCCTTAATTCGCTGTAGGCTCAAAAACAGATTGGGTGCCCCACAAAGTAGTCTCTTGAAATCACAAGATGCACAAAAGGGATGGATCAAAGATACCCT